TCTCGAAGTTTAGATCTGTATTTGATTTCATAGTTTTTTTCGTGTATTCTAGTTCTACAAGTTGTTGTCGATGGGGGTAAAGTACCTTAACAACTGAACGGAATAGCACCAATTCTTTTTCCTAGCTTATTCTTGAGCTACTCTTTAAAATAATTTGCATTAAGGGAATTTTCCATGTTATTTTCCCTTTTAAAAAAATCTCAAATTTGAAGAATAAAAGAAAGCTGAAAACTCAAAATTTTTAAATAGCAAGGTATAACAATTTCATATCACGTGGAAGGTCCTTTTCAAACAAACATTTCACGTATTTCAGTTTTCTTTATATCTCTTACAGTTTAAAAATGACAGTAGAAAAACATGATTTTCTATGGTAAAATTATAACTAGTTTTCTAATAAAACACGTTGCACTTTTGAATCTACGATATAGTAGTTCTAAGAGAGGTTATGTTTTAGCTTATAAACTAAACACTCACTCATTGCCAAATACAGTATATAATCAGCTGGTTGGTGTCCGGTAAAACTCATTACAGTACAGTGTTCGTAATGAAACCCCAATTGATTAAGCTGACGGCAAAGAGCTGTTTTCTGGACTAAATCCTTGCGTGGGAAGTTCGTCAAAACAGTGTAGTGTGACGTAATAGTATATTACGTTATTAGTCCTGAAAATAGGTGTTTACCGGACGAGTGTGTGGTTGTTCCCGTGCGACACGAAGTCGTATGGGATTACCATACGAGTCCGGTAAACACATTTTGGACGAGTGACTTAAGATATTTTACACCATACCACTCTAAGCTAACTTAACAATAAAAAATCCTTATATATATCCACCGACTAAAGGACTGACAATAACTACTCATAACCTCTAAGAGAGGTTATGATTTTGACTCATTGCCTAATGTAGTCATCCAGCTGGTTGTTTTCCGGTAAAAACTCATTACGATACATTAGTACGTAATGAAACCACATTTGACTAAAGCTGGCGGCAAACAGCGTTTTCTTTTCTGGACTAGGCCTAAATCCTTGCGTGGGAAGTTCGTTAAAACATTGTAGTGTGGCGTAATAATAATTTATTAAACATAAATACTCTGGAATAATACAGCATTGCTCTGTTTTACCTACCATTATAGAATCCCCATGTCCTACAGTAAATAACACAGTATCTATCTATATATTAATAGGCAAGCATGTTTCTTTAAAACCTTTTTTCTCAGCTCGTGTGCATCGTAGGGAAAATCTACGCAAACCGTTAGAAAGCTATTTTCGTGTAGGTGTGCAGAATCCATTTATAAATTTAAATAGTCTATATATTAATAGGCAAGCATGTTTCTTTAAAACATTTTTTCTCAGCTCGTGTGCATCGTAGGGAAAATCTACGCAAACCGTTAGAAAGCTATTTTCGTGTAGGTGTGCAGAATCCATTTATAAATTTAAATAGGCTCAAAGATAAGCACAAAAAATGAGTTTAAAGATTTGAAAAAATTAACATGGATCTTATGCGTTGCCATGCTGGTGACGAAATAACAACGAAATTTAAACAAGAAATCAAAACAAATGGAAGAAACTCCAATCACATGTTTTATTTACAGTGTGGGGGTGAAAATAGAGAAGTGAGTACATTACATATTTTTGGTCGAGTTTCGACCACTGGACGACCTCTCGTTCTAATTAATAAACCCACCAATTAGTTTAAACCATCGATCTCTAAGTAATAGAGATCGATGGTTTAAACAAACGAAACAATTATTCTGAATTAAATTATGTGTTTAAATCAGCTGTGTGACGTTGTATATCCCAATGTGCTGTTGAAACTTCTACAGGTTTACATTAAAAGTCAGAGTAAATTCAGCACATTGTCTTCTTATTGCTTTCATGAATACAATATACAATAATTACATTCAAAAGCCAACATTCACTTTAATCAGTTCAGTGATTTATGTGGATGTCATACTAACTCACAAACCTCAACACTTTCCCAATAATGTCCAAATTGCGTTAAAAATTATGTTCAAATCTGATTAAAATATATTGCTAATTTAGTGGGAATGAACAATATAAAAAAAAATATGTCTATGCCATGCTTTACAAATCTGATTTAAAACAATTATATCGTTAATTTAGTGGAAATCAACAACATCAAAATCGCAGACGAAAACTCACATTTCCCCACTTTACCCGGAGAGAGGGATAGACGGCCGTGACGTCATAGTGTTGTAGGGGTTTTCGTGTGGAGGACAAGCCATCGGCTGGATCGGGGGGAGTTGCCGCAACGACTCTCTCCCACTCCATTTAGATAGAGAGAGGGGTGGTCGGCCGTGACGTCACATTTCGGAAGTCTGTGTCGTCGGGAGTCTGCGTCGTCGGGAGCCCCTGGTATCGCACCAAAGATAGCCTTGCTACACTACCATTACTGTAAACTTTGTTTTCTGTCATGCGGGATGCGTCAACAGTCATCGCGACTCCCGTGAAGGCGCTCAAGTTCATTTGCCTAATTTCTGTGTTGTTATGGTATTTATCAAGATAGGCCGGTAATTTGACTTAGATTATTAAGTTTATATTATTTTCCTTTAAAAATAGCCTAAAGCCTTATTTCAGTTGAATGTTTAACCACAATCAGTATCGTACATAGTGTTTAAGGTTTGAACTCTATTAATTGGAATAAGTTACCGATTTAATTAAAAAAGTATTTAAAATGATAAAGTTGGTTAGATTAGTACTATGGTAAATTCAAGTTCTAACTATTTTCTTTCAATAATTAGTCTCTGTCCAAAAAATATATACAATTTTATATGGTAAAAAAATAAAAATTATGTGATTGACAATTTATTACAATGTATTGTTTTTAAACCAATTGATATGTCATTTTGCAATGCATCAGTTAACAGGCTATGTACATCCGTTGATGATTCCAGTGACAATTACTTTTTATGACCAATAAAACGTTCGCCCTATCTATATATTAATTAGCAAGAATTATGTATAGCATTATCTTTAAAACTTTTTTTCTCATCTCGTGTTCATCGCAGAGAAAATCAACGCATACTGTTGGGAAGATATTTTCCTGTAGAGTAGACGTGCAGAACCATTTCATAAATTAAAATAAACTCAAAAATTTGCACAAAAATTAACTTAAAATTTTAAAAAATTACATGGACCTTATGGGTTGCCAGCATGGTGACGAAATAACAACGCAACAAACAGAAAATTAAAACAAATGGAAGAAATTCAAATCACATTTTTGGGTCGATGTCTACTTGTACCGGCGTCTAGTTGTACTTGCTGCATTTTGGTGACAGGCGTCTAGTTGTACCTCGTCCAAAGCTGTAGGTACAACTTGACGATGGTGCGGACGTCTAGTTGTACCTACGTCTAGTTGTCTCTACGTCTAGTTGTACCTCTTAAAAATCTGCAGGGACAACTGGTCGGGTACGCCACCGCCTACTTGTACCTCATACGTCTGCGTCTATTTGTACCTACGACTAGTGACTAGTTGTACCTACGACTACTTGTACCTACGACTACTTGTACCTACGGCTAGTTGCATCTCCCCTTCAACTTGTCACCAGTTTAAGGGATTTATTTCATTTCTTGAAAAATCATACAATCTTACAACAATTTTTATAAACAACTTGCTACAAAAGCCAGAAAAATTTGGCTTGTTTGCAGTTCATTGAGAAAACCCTGTTCTTGATAACAATGTACTGTGTCCCTTGGTCAGTCCTTATCCATATTACACTTTGGTTTTCCTTATTTCTTGTCAAGATCTGCTATCATTGTTTTTTCCACTTAAACTCTACCTTTCTATAGAAAACTAACATTAACTAGCTCTAACAACAACTTAAAACAATTATCTTAAATAAATAAATTCTGAGTTTACAAAGACAATTAAATGAGTATAATGAAGTGTTTTTGTATGGTATTAGTCACGGAGAATATTACAACAAGTTCAAATTAAAAATGTATATGTTATTCTTATGGATATTACGTAAACTGGCGTAGTTTGGTTGTTGATGCATATACTTTAACAAATAAATTTATTTCACACTTAACTACTAACTTTTCTCAAAAACACATCTTAATTACCTTCTACGCAAACGTAATGAAAGCTTACTATAGTAGACGTCGCCCGGATCGGGCCAAAACCACCCCTAGATACGATAAATTAATTATTCCTAGCTGTTAGGGGTAGTATCTTAGCTGTTAGGGGTAGTATCGTAGGTTGTTAGGGGGTGAAAACCATGTGAAGTAACCTCATTTGTATACGTAGGTACCTTCGTTTATTAAATTAGTTATTAGATCATGGTAAGTACCTTTGTTTATTAAATTAATCATTAAACTACGGATAAAAAGTGTGACTGGTATTGAACCCCGGCCTCCTGGGTGATGGTCCGAAGCCTTATCAACTGGGCTACGACGTCAGTTATAGGTACAGTGTTTATAGTGGTAAATAACAACCTCATCTGATGATGTAAATCACCTAGTATGTATCCCGCCAATTAACATAACCTTCTGCCAGTTGTATTTCCGCCAAGACCGTTTCCTGCCATAACCTCACTTGTGTACGTTGTTATCTGCTTTCCCGCCATAACCTCACTTTACGTATTGTATATGTAGTCATTTATATTTAATTATTAAACTCAGTTTTAGGTACAGTGTTTATACATCGGTAAAATAATAATCTCAGTCTATAAAGTCTCAACACAACGTTAGTGTGTCCAATAGCGATTAGCGGAGGTCAATTGCTGATAGAGCGTCAATATTGATATCGTTATCTTTGATAATGATATCGTTATGATTCATTCCTCCATCCACACAAGATTCTTACTACAAATGATTGAGGTAAGTCGTATTTACTAAAAATTACTTTAACTTTATAATAACTAGTGTTGTAAACTTATGTCTGGCATTTTAGGATAAATAAAAACAAATTGTCTTACATAGGCTATAAATTTATTCTCTCTCTATTGTATTCTCTACAGAATGGACATCTGTATATTCTGTCGGCGTCGCGGGGATCGAGAACCAAGATGGCGGCCGTCCACAGCTGTTTAGCAAACTTGACAAAAAGTGAGGTTAGGTCAATTGGCGGTAACAGTTGGCAGGAAAGCCGATGACACCTCCTACATACACAAGTAAGGTAATATCAAATGACAACAAAGTAACAACTTGGCGGGAAAACAGAGGTTATAGGATGCATATACAAGATCACGTGATCAGATGAGTATCAAACCCGTGAACCTCTGAGCTAACAGTAATTGGCAGCACTAGTGTTGCTACCTAGTAGAGAGTTTGTAAACTATGACAACTAAAAAGATCTGGTGCTGCAACCTGGTGGAAAATTTTTAAACTAAAGAGATTTAAGCAGTACAAGTAATACATTGGTATAATCCATTAGTCTCAAGTTAATCATTACTATAAACTTGTTGCCATACCGTCGACACTAGCACTCCAGTAATAAATTAATAGACTTGTTTAGTTTGAGGTTACATATACTGCGAGGGATTTTTACCCTTAACGATAAATTTTGATTTCGACGAATTCCACAGATAGTTCAGGGTATGGGTGTCTAACTATCCAGGGGTCTAAAGTTAGCCTAAATCTCGATTTCCCTATATATCTCGAGGTTTAAGCTCAGTCCGCGGCAACCAAGTACACCTACAATGGACTCATCATCGCCCACCTCGAGATATCGAATTTGGACTTTGACCAAATGGTCTTTACTGTCGAATTTTCGCGGTAACTAATGTCAACCATCACCCTACCGACCTATTTGTAGGTTAAGGTAACTATCCGTTACCCTACCTTGTGTGTCGCGACTTATTCGGTCACGAGCTGGCACTTACCTCGTCCCGTAGTCCAAATCCGCTCTAACACAATTCACTGAGGCAGGGTATAACCCCTCCAATCAGCTAACTCCGCCGCGAGGTATTCCCTCACGGTACAATACCTACCTGCTCGTTGCTGGGGATAGGGTATGTCCCCTCCAAGCAGCCGAGCTTCGCCGCGAGATATTCCCTCACGGTACAATACCTACCTTCTAAGCCGACCCGTCGAGTGTTCTGCCCAAGTTATAACGCTTGGGTAGAACTAACTATACTAATATGGGGTTAGCTTATACTTACTGACACTATCCACCTCGGGCCTAAGACTGACTTACTATAAGCACGACCTATTAAGTCACGCTTATGGCTATAGTCGCGGTATATTCTACCACGACGGAACATACCTTGTGAGCTGTCTGACGTCCAACATCAAATCCAACTGACTAGTGCCCCAAATGCACCTGCTTATACAGGACCTTCCAGTGGCAGGGGTGTAGGGGTGAGGTAGGGGAGATAAGCTCGGCAGTCCAGTTGTGTTGCCGCTTGACCTTTGCCCTAACAGCTGATAAGCTCGGCCGCTGATGTTTACTTCCAACTATATCTCTCTCTCCCTCTCTAATCCTGACACTATTGTCATTCAGACTATTCAACTACACTTCCATTGTTTATAGCTACGTACCAGAATAATTTTAATAATTATATTTCTAACCAAACAGTTGGGTTTATGGCCTTACAAATTACAAAATAAAACGTGTATTCCTTCACAAAATAATGATACTTCTAACCAAATAAACTGTAAGGGAAAAATAACCCTTACAATACAAGAGATCACATAGTCAGTAGTTAATAAGACACTGCTACCTAGTAGAGAATTTGTAAACTACGACAACTTAGAGTAAAACATTTATACAAAATATATTAAATACCGTCAACACTTAGTGATAGACTTGTTTGGCTTGAGGTTATGTTACATATACAAAGTCACGTGATCGGCTAAGTATCAATTCCTTGAACCTCCCCACAGCCTCCCCTACCACCCATGTTTAGTGATTGGTAGGGATCAAACCCTTGATCCTCCAGAATTCATATACCATACCATATCACCCCAACCTAACATTTAGTAAGAATTGAACCCATAAACCTCTAAAACTCCCACTATACCAAGAACACATTTTTTACACACCTCAAAACACATAACATCCAACATTTAACAGTATTTACCATTTATGCTCAATGGTAAAGTTCCGCTTACGCATTATACACTACAACATATATACACACCCTATAAAATTTAGTATGGATCAAACCCTTAAAAAACCTACTACACATTTAGATTAAGTTTTATGCTCAATGGTAAAGTTCCGCTTAAGCCCAATTTTAACATCTATTTGTTTCACATTTATTATACACTATAGCATATATAAAATAAAACGTTTTTTTACTCTCTCCCCCTATATCATAGTACTAGCTGTACCCGCGGGCTTTGCCCCGTTTAACTTCACAAGTGAGCTCGTTCGCATGGCTCAATGACGTCCTGGTTGAAGTTCGTTCGCTACGCTCACTCACCTAAGGTTGGAGCTCGTTCGCTCCGCTCACTTGCCTTCAGGTTAGCTCGTTCGCTATGCTAACTCGCTTCCAGGTTGAAGTTCGTTCGCTACGCTCAGTCGCTCACTCACCTTTTGGTTGCAAATTGGCTGTAGTCATAAATTTAAAAAATAACAGTGCTGCACCCTGTTGGTAATCCTTTTAACTTTAATGCTATTGAACATCATAGAACAGAACCAACTTGTTTAAATGAAACAGCTGTTAAGAAATTCTTTTTAAATATGAAAAATCATAAGGTTAACATGGGAAAATCCAGAGCCACTGGGGCGGAGCCCGAAAGCCCGATCAGAATAAAAACTACTTATTTTTTCTATTTAATGCCCAAAGAATCAGTGTACCGAATTTCAGCCTCCTAGGTAAATGGGAAGTGGGAGAATTAGTGATGAGTGAGTGAGTGAGTGAGTGAGTCAGTCAGTGAGGGCTTTGCCTTTTATATATTTAGATATGGAGAAAGTATTGTTTTCGTCAAAATTTTCGAGTTTGAGTTTTGAGTGGATATATTCGTTTTGGGTCCCCCTGGACCCAAAAAAGTGGTTTTCGAAGTGATGTCTGTGTCTGTGTGTGTGTGTGTGTGTGTGTGTGTGTGTGTTTGTGTGATGGTTGTATGTGGGGATGTGTACAGAGCTACAGACTACAACAAAAGTCCGATTTTGATGAAATTTGGTATGTAGCCTATCCATGGCATCTAAAGAAGTATTTTTATTTTTTTAATTTTGATTTTTTAATGGTGGTTTCCTTATAAAACCCCATAAAATTACGGAAAAATTTAATTTTCTTGAAAATGGCCCGAACGACTTTGATAGAAATTTAGTGAACTCCGATCAAAAATCTCCGTTACGTTTTTATGACAAAATGTATGTTTACATTTATATGTCCAGGGTCGGATGGGGAATGGGGGTGGTTTTAGACACTATACCCCCCCCCTTGGAACCACCCTTAATACATAATTATGTATGTTAATAGTATTGCGTTTTCTGCCATCAACATATTTTCACTAATTCGTAGGAAAAACCAAAAATCTTTTCACCTGTTTGGTCACAATTCGTAAATTCTCCCTTGTATCTATTTGATTTGCAATAAATAATCATTTAACCTATTAGTGACAGTTTTGTAATAGTGTATACAATTTACATGAATAACTTACATGAATCAGGCACAAATTATTGAAATAAAATAAGTTTAAGTACAAAATATATTTTATACATAAATTACATTCAATTGGGTTTAACAAAAATGACTAGAAATAAAAGCACATTAAAATACTAACCTAATTAAGATAAATAATATAAAATTTATGACTTCTAATTCTTTTAGGTACTTTGGTATTATCCGGAGGCCACTTAAGGTACTATACTAATGTTTCATTACTATATTGTTAGTCATAGCTCAAGCACTGGTTGTAATATTTTGCTATATGATAAAGTTTTTATTTATTACACTTTATTGAAATTTTTCGATTTGGAGAGTAAGTTTTAGATGGTTTAAATAACATTTTGTGTTGCCAACAAATACACCAGAAGATTGTAATGAGGTTTAGAGTTTATTAGCTTATTTATTAGCTTAGTTATTGATAATACAGGACGGCGTTTACTTATAAATATTTTAGCCATTTTTGAGTTAGACATAAATGGTATTGTGTTATCTTTCAAAAGCTAATACCTCATAGTTTTCATGTGTATTATTAAACTATCAAGTTTATAACTGAACTATAAAGTAAGATGGATGGACCATTATTGTTATATACACTTAATTTATTCACATGACATTGATATGCACCTAAATACATTAGCTGATTTTTATTATTTAGTTTTGTATTTTTATAGTAAAAAATCTCTTAGAAGGTACTGTAATCTTTAATATGAAGGATATGGTATTAGAAGGATACTGTAATATCTTAGTCTTAGGTACTGTAATGCAACGAGCATACATAGTTTGTTTGAAATTCTGTAAATGCTCACCAAAGCATTAACCCCAAATAATCCAACAACACACAACAATTGGCGAGCGAGTGGCTCAGTCGGTAGCATAGATATATAAACACTGGATGTTTATAATTATATCGATGGTCAGTAGCGTCACGGACTTTTGGCCCAAGGCAGCGATGTCGTGGGTTTGGATCCTGGTCACTGCCGTAAACATTTTATCAGTACAGTTAGTTCACCCATATACATCGATGGTTCACCCTCGTACTGTGCCGGCTGACTGATTCTGGGCCGCTCCTTGCTGCACGATGCGCTGGAGAAAACACGATGAGTTTTAATAAAAATACCCCAAACACATAATTGAAGAGGAGCTCAAATGAGCAAGTAAATAATTTGAAGTGGAGCAGAACCCTTTTGTCCGAAGCTCCAATCTTAAGACGTCGCCACCACCGAAAAACGTGAAGATATCTCCGCCACCTGCACCTTTCAAGTGCTCTACGTTACCCCCTTTAGGGCCTCCTTCGGCAAGTGGGGCTGGGAACGGTTCAGAAAATGTTAGCGATGTAGACGTCGAACAGGCATTGCCGGGAACTATGCTGCCGATCAGTTCTGCTGTAGGGATGCCGAAGGAAACCTTCACAGCGACGTCGCGGTCGGAAGTCTCTGAGAAGGTGCTTCTGCGTCAAGAATATCTTGACGCAGATAGTAACATTGAAACCCGAGTCCGTGATATGGAGGTGACGATCAAGGCTATGCTGGACACCTTCCGGA